TTGCATAGCACAATTTTAGATTTCTATTTAGTTTTCAATGTTCTAAGTAAATATTTACACATATGTATCTATTGTCTCATTGGCCATTTCGTCTTTATCAAAATTTTACTGTAAGATTCAGAATCTTGAAAACATATAATAATCCTTTCTTTTACGAACAAAATTATGCATCAAATTAATATTCGTTTTTTTAATTTCTCAAATATTACCTATTTATGTATGTGTGTGTCTTCACAACAAATATTTATTTTTTATTATAAGCTTTTCACTTCACTTACCATTACATCACACACCTGTTTATGTAAGGAAATAATAAATGTCTCTTTTTTTTTTAACCTGTCGTCTGACATTATTACGTGGACAGGTAAAAATACAACTTGGTCTGCATATACCTATCCCGCATGTCGCGGTACGTTCTATAAGAAAAAACTGTAGTAAACAAAAATCCAAAAATAACAAGGACGCCCTCGATAGCGTATAAGCTGAATATCCGGAGTCCGCTTCTGTCTTTTGCCAATGATTAAGCGAGCAAAGCTAAACGCATTTACCTAAGGCGCAGTCTTTTATGATCAACACAAAGCAAAGCTATTTATGTACATATACATGTACTCCGTTACGTAAAATACTCTCCCTATCCTCCCGAGAACATCGAGTAGTAACGCGTGGCAGCGCAATTTCCTTCGTGAATGTTTTCGATGGGAGCGCGCAGCAGATGAGTGATCTATTAAAAAAGAGATAAGGTGGAAAACCAATACTTGTACTAATCCATATGTGATACCTTAACGTACGAGGATGAGCGTTTGTGTCAGTGTGTATGTAGAGTCAACACATTAATAATGAGGCTACACATGTCAGAAATAGAACGTTCATTCGGCCGGAGGGTTTCAGGCCGCTGATGACGAACGATTGTTAAGTGTCGAAAACACTTTTCACTCTTTCTTTGCACTGAGGAACTTTCCTGCACTTGGTATTTTCATCCATTTTATCCTCGCAGGAAAAAAATCGATCGAGATTGCACGCGCGCGACAATTCTTCTTCTTTTATAAATATCTGCCTTTTTAAGGATATACTTTTATCTCCTTTTCTTACTTTCTTCTTAGTTTTCTATTTCTATAGAAACTTTTGAAAACTTACTCGATGAGACTATTTCGCATCGTTACTATTAGAATTCTGTTGTTGATAACGGAGAATATGCGACTGTTCCACACAGCGTTATATATAATTCCAAGATATCTTAAAGTTATTACAGTACATCATGAAAGATGTAGGTAAAGATATGCATAACAAATGGGCGTTAAGAATGATTAGATCTAAGCTAATAACGAAATTGAGTTAATGCAATAGAACTACCAGTCACAGTGTCTCAGGAATACTATGATTCTAAAAAAAAAAAATGGTAATAATGAAATAAAGAGATCCTGATGATGAATAGCTTGAACTTTTCGAATTTCTGTCTTGTTAATCTGATTACAGGAAAAGGATTTTTTTCTATAATTTAGATATTTATCACCTCAACACATCCAAATAGAGATTAATCGTGTACTTTAAGGCTCCTGAGTCAGCATGCAATTCAAAATCAGTCGGCGGCCTGGCGAAATGTGGCGAAATTGGTAGCCACACACAAGCATGAGCCTATATACATACATGTGCTCTCGCATATGTGTGTGTGTGTGTGTGTGTGTGTGTGTGTTACAGCGCCTCATCACGATAAATAGCTGAACTTATAGGCGTGGAAAACGTTTTGACGACGAAATTTGTGTTGCATGCCACTTCGTTATTATTTGCTTAATTGTGAAAGTGACATATCTTGTACTTATGAAAGTCCTAAAAATGAGCAGAAACTGTGTAAATAGTTATCCTGGAATTATACATAAAGTATATTTCATTCATTTCAACAGCTGTGTGTTTCTATCCAAAATTAGGCTCACTTTACCTGCCTTTTACGACCATTTATTGACTAAAATTTAAAGAAAGAAAAGGACAGTTTCTGCCTATTTTTACAAGTATTTTAAAACAATCTCGTTATTTAGATTTATCCAAATTATCTTTATTTACAAATGGCTTGCAGCATAAATTAACGTGTCATTCCTCGCTTCTGAAATCATGATTCCAGCATGGCTGCCGCGACTACTCAGGAGCTTTAAAGCGAAATATTTATGATAGATATGGTTTAAAGTGTAATAGGACCAAAAATGGCAAAACAATTATGCTAGAACTTTGAATTATATTATCCAAAATGTTCTGTTTTGTATTTTCAAAGCATTTCACCTTGCTCGTGCATCCACTCGATATAATTGAAATGACTAGATGAAAGGAATACAAATGATAAATCCTGATAAAGCTAGTCGATAGAAGCACACTCTTGAACTTTCATTTTAAAATAATTTTCACTCACTTCATTATCAAATTCAACATATTTAAAAGCAAAGGAATGACTCATTTAAAAAAAAGACACTGCGATACAAAGGCATTCCATTTTCTCTTGTGCAAAATGAAACTCTTCTTTATTTAATAACTAAGCTTACAGAGTACAAAAGAGATTGTAAATATAAAAATAATCATGCTCTGAGAGAAAAATTAATTTTCATGCAATTTTGTATACACACTCGAATTGTTTATGCAGTATTTATTACTTATGTTCTTTTACATAAGTATGGAATGTAATTTGATTAAAATGATGTCCTATCCACTTGACTACGATGTGTTATAATCCTTATTAACATTTTGCTAATCTTTTCCAGTTTTCAAAGAATGGCACGACAATCAAATTGCACAATGTGCGTTACGAAGCTTCCGGTATCTATTGCTGTGAAGTCACTATGACAACACCTATTTATACTGCTAGCGCTGATCCCGTACAGATGAAAGTGATATGTAAGTGATATTATCGACTTTATACACAAGAATAGAAATATCTCCTTACTAATGGCATTAGTCGTTTTATCGTATTGAATTATATTAATTTTATTGAGTAGCCCCATTTAGGTGCTAAACAAAATATCAGTATTGATCTAACTGAAACAATAATTTGATATGAAAATTGTTATTAGATATTGACGTTTCTCAGATTGAATAAATGTCAAAATCTAAATTTTAACTGATCATAAATTAATATAGATTTTTAAATACCATCTCCGATATATTTTTAATAATATTTTTTAGTTCCACAATCTGAGAATCCTAGAATTACGTTCAAGAAGAGTGTATATGTAGTAGGCGAAAGCCTGGAGGCAAATTGTTCATCCTCGCCTGCACATCCAGTTCCTTATATAACGTGGTTCATAAACGGCGAAGAGGTAAAGAAACAACAGATTGAATAGAATTGAAATATAACTTCGAATTTAACAAGTCCGAGAGAAAGAATATCTATTTGATTTAACAACGAATGATGCACTGTTATTAAAAAATGTATACGTATACTTTTAATCGCTTTTTACTCTTACAATACTTGAACATTTTAGCCCAATAGAATTAATATTACAAAAAATTATAAATTTATCACTTATCCTGCTTTCTAAAAATAGACATTTTTCTAATAAGATAATAGCGTTAAAAATAATGAGATCCAAAAAGCGTTTTAAAACTTGAAGTCTTTATAGATCGATAGTTCAGATAATTATTTAATTGATTTTTTATGGAGTTACATATAGATACATAAATGAAAAGGACTTCGCACGAAACAGAAAATGAGTCCCGACTAATTTGGCTGAATTTATTGTAGTTCTGATTATCTTGATCAAAAGTCTTATCTTCATCAGCATGAAGTAAAATAATGAACAATTTTTGAGTTATTGTACATCAAACTCTGCCAAAAAAAATCGCTATTTTATCTATTTATTCTTATTTTATTTTAAGAATAAATAGATAAAGACTTTTGATCAGGATGATCAGAACTATAACATATTACAAATTCAACCAAATTAGTCGGGATCCATTTTCCGTATGTTTTGTGCGGAATTCTTTGTCGAAATTGTTACGAACTTTACAAAGCTCTTTGATTGCTCATGAAAAACGAAGTAGCACTCGGTATTCTGTAAAAAACGAATAAAAGAGTCTAAATTTTCTTTTTAAAGTGCACCTATGTCATGTATATACACTGTATACATAACATATAAAGAACCATAAATCCGACCGTGCAACTGGTGCAACCTCCACACAATACGCGACGGATCTGCAGCGATAGAATCAAGCGAACGTTGTTTTTCCTAACGTGGTTATTTCGAACACAAAGGCCATAAATTACGTTAAGATTATAGTATTTTTAGTTTCTCGGAATATACCAAGTTGAATGATAACATGTGTTAATTGTTTAATTATTAGAGTCTCATTTAAGCGAAGTTTACATACGGAAAGTTTTTTTATATCGAAAAAAATGATAAGTGCATCTCAAAGAGAAAGCTTAAATCTTTCTATTCGTTTTTTAAAGACTATTAAGCGCTATTCTGTTCATCTTCTGCGAGCAGCCAAAATAAAAAAGACGCTTTCTGCTTCTGCGTTAAATTACTCGGTGAAAAAAAGATCGTACAACACTTAATAAATATGCAAATTAAAAATAATGATTCACTCTTGCAAAGATTATAAACTGCTTTCACGTGCGATTTTAATTTACGCCAAACTTTGTAAAGTACTTTCGTAAAAACTTTGAAATTGATCCACTTATCCGTGTAGCTTCGTAAAAGATCAATCATGTCGTTATCTAAACTACTGATTTGAAAAATAGAAATTTCTGCAAGCTTTGAAATACTTTTTGGATTATTATTATGATGTGTTATTATGATCATTTTTGACAAAGTTCCTTGAAAATTACTTGTGTTTAAAGAGAATTATATTTTTTAAATATTTTCTCATAAATTGCAAAACATGCTTTTATAATTTACTCGAACTTACACGTAATTATGAGCAATTAAATTTGTAAATAGCTTTAAAGGAAATATATTCCTTTGCCCGATTGTAATTTTCTGATTATCGATTTCACCAGGTGGATATTGCTCTAGTGACACACTATCCTCATACATCATATCATAAGAATCATCTGATGTTCGCTACTGCTAAACTGAAGGTGGAGGTTTCTGCGTTGCACGCTGGCCAAAATGGGCATCTTGAGATCAGCTGTCAGGCAACAATACCTGCATTTCCCACGCACCACGAACAATTTGCCGATATTAAAAAAAAGACGGTGTCGGGTAAGTTTTCTCATAAGATATTAAACTCTTTTCGTATGTACAATACATAGATAGAGAAGTCTATGGACATAACATATGACGAATTCGATCGGAAATATTAGTGCGCACTGGTGCATATTAAAGCCGTTGTACACTGATTTAATTTGAGTATAAAAAGTGAAATGCAAATATTTCGAATTATAAAATACACATTTTACCTAACAGTACAATAAAATGTATTTCAGAATTTAATCGATTTCTATGTTTGTATATAAACATATCCTTTTTACGTTATTTTGTGGCTTTAATGTGCACCAGTACGCACTGAATGCGTCCAATCAAATTTGCTAATAGTAACAACTTTTAACCACTGAATACATGCATGATGTCGAAAACAGAGTGATAGATAAAGATAGATACGGATTATTTTATTAAAAAACGGAAATAAAAAAAATATTTTTACTGCGAAAAACTGCTCTCCGGAACTTTATACCTTTCCACATGTTTTTGCCTTCTATAAGCCTCAGGGGGCTTTCATATTTTTTTTTTATTCTTACCAATTTATCAATAACAAAAGTAAAAGTCCCGATGTTTGTACCGTGCAACTTGTTTCAGTGCAAATCATACCAGCGCCGGATGTGACGTCTTCCGCGGCGATTCTCATACGAGAACTCACGCTATCTACAATACTGTGCATATTGAGCGCAATGCACGAGTTTATTCCTTAATAAAAGTCAATTGTTCTAGGATAATTCGGCTGTAACATATCTAATTGTAAGGATGTTAAGGCGATGAACATAAGATCGAACAATCACAATGTCTTCCTTCGATATATCGAAATACACGGGGGCAGCGGTTTTATTGTCTTTGCAGAAATTTTGTAAACTCATAGACGCGGCTTCTTCGTGCGCAAACTATTTTCGATTATTGCTTATAAAACGAGCGTCGTCTGTCTCGCGAAACATATCAATCCCATTATCATGAGAAACAATTTAATGTCCGAATATTCGGCAAGGTGTGTCGGAAAGCTATGTCTCTTCCTTCAATACTGTTCGAATATACTTGTCATAGAATGCATATAATAGGATTTTGAAAATTATTATCTGAAAGTTAAATTAGAAAAGAAAAAAATCGAGCTACACAAAGATATTTTTGTTCTATAACAGAACATATATATATTTGTATTGTTGAATTAGTTAACATACCTTTGAAAAAAAAAAAACAGAGTTTATTACAGTTTAAAGTAAAACATACATAGCTTTATTGTTAACTATATAAAAATTTGATCTATATTAAAATGTTATCGAGATATCATATGATGTATTACAAACTGTAATTTATATTTTATTTTAAAAAATGATATGGTTTTCCGATACGCGTTAATATAACATTTCATCTAGTCTCGCCTCGCCGCTGGGGAAATAAAATGTTTTTTAAGCTAGCAATACATTCTTGTTACTGCGCGCACATTTCTATAAAAGCTATACAAAAAAAAAACTTGTATTCGAATAAAAAACACTTTAATATCAGTCGAATTGATTTAATAGACTTTTCCCTTTGGGAATATCTGATTTTAATAGCAGTTTTCCATTAACAGATTTTGCTCTTTCTACAATATTTCCATATATCGTTCAAGCCATTAGAATCTCGATTAAAAAAAGAAAGATGGTTTTTATTTAATTCGCAGTAGATATAAAATTATTTTTTTTATAATTTAAATTTTTTTATATTACGCCCCGTTTCATGATGTTTCGTAATAATAACACACAGCGATGAGATCAATTTTCCGACAATAATCTAGAGAAGTGACAACTTATCCGCGTATAATAGGACATAGATACTATAGCAAACATTCACCGTCATTTCACCGTAATTCGGAGCTTAGCGCTCCGTAGGAAATATATTCAAGAGAAATTTAAAGCAAGAATGGCGTAAGTCAAAAATACGATGACTTATAAGGTACTCGGATCTTTGCACGTATTGAAATATTTCATGAACACATAAAATTAAAATATCAGACAATCTTCTAATTTAAATTATCGTTTTAATAAATTACATAACAATATAAACGAATACAATACAAGATCGCTCACTTAGGCCATTTTTGTTTTCGATTCTTCATCTGTACTTCACGCGCTATAACTAACTGAGGGATATCGATGAAACGGGATGTACAACTCACAATCAGTATTACATTACGACTTCCTTCAACGTATTTTAAAGAGGCAAGCTTAAAAAACAACACCGCGACAGCGGCTAGGCATTTAGAGAACTGCGAGAAATTAGAGATAACTAGAGATACTCGAGTCAGAGTTTGATCAATAATACCTGATCTATTACACATAATTACTAAACAATAAAGCACAATTTCTTTGCTTGAATTTACAATCAATGTACAATCAGATCTTGTGATTATATACTATCTCTTCGTAATTTTCGAGAGATAATGCGTTACATCGATCTTATTGAGGTCGATCGAAAGACTGCGGGCGAACTGATTCGATCAAGCTCTGACTCAACCATCTGTAGAAATAGCGATTACGGCCGTGCTTTGTGGCCAAACTTTTTGGAACACTATTGGGCGCGTTACCCGTCGATACGACGTGGTTTTTAACAGGATTTAAAACTCTTGATGCCGATACTATCACCAAACAACCAAACGCTTGGGATTATCTCTTATCTGTGTATTGACACATCTCCTCGTTAAAAAATCATAATCCTCTCTCTCTCTCTTTGCTGTCGGCACTTGTACTAAATACCAGCAACTTTAAACAGCCATATTGACTACAGCGTAAGAGTATGTTAGTATGAGCTGGCTTACCTGAGCTGGCAGTACTTTGGAACATTAAAAGGATTATGACGAAGAACGTTTACGTTAGAGTGAACGCTAACGATGCTTTCCGAGGCTTTAGAGTACTAATCTAATCTTGATCATTAGGATAATCAGAGAGAACGTATCATCGTCTCCAGTTAGACGACTAATCTAACTAAAAAAGTTTTGATAGCTTCACAGATCGAATCTTATGAACGTAAGTCTGTAGCTGATGTTACAAACTAGGAGTACTCACGCGCGATCGAATTCAGTTACAATTAAATATAAAGATTAAAAAGCGGCAAATTACTAAATGATAAATTTATTGTCATAGTTAGAGGAAAGTGGAAACGTTAGGGAACAAACATTGACTATGTAGTGCTTTATAGAAGTAAAGAATATATTTATGATTAATGAATTTTTATGCATATATTTCAGATTGTGCGACTATTTGCTAAAATCGAGATTATTCCAATCGCGTGCAAATTCTTACATGCTTTCAAACTTGCAATAAATATACTACTTTTTAATTTTTATTGTACTTGTACTGTAAGACATATAAGGCATCGGTCGTCTAAGCGAAGTTTGAAAGCTTAGTAATGATATTTTAATTGAGAAGTGCCTTTTCATATATCCGCAAATTAGAAAATATCTCAGGCAGATCTTAGTCTGCTAGGCGATATGCTTTTGCTCGGAAAGCAAAATCGCAATCACTGACAATTAATATAGAAAAGAAGTCGTCTTTTTTAACGATCTCACTCTTTAATAAAGTTATCTTTAGTCGTTTCAGCGTTCACTCTAGCATGTCGAAAGCTTGAAAAAATTGATTATATTGTAAATTTATACAGATTTGCTGTTTCTAGTTGCACCTTCAATACACAAAATTGATTGTGAAGTTTGTAGGGGAAGGGGGAAGACCTATGGAGAAAATCATGATGTAAAAAAAAAAATTACATTGGTCATGATGGAAAAAATTATATTGGAGAACTTCACGTCAGTATATTTGCCAATGGAGAACTTTATGCCAATACATTGAAAAACTTCACGTCGATACATTCATCATACATACATAAGATTCCATTTTCATTCCTTTTGCGAAGATATATTACGATTTCATTGCCACTGGCGCTCCTAGCAGCAGCTATGCTTCTTGGCAACGCAACGATAATTTATTTATATTTAGCTCGAGGAAAAGTAAAAAGGTGCACGACTAGGAAGAGCAAGTCTGGTATAAAGAGAAAAACAAAAGCCGACGGAGCGTGGCACAGAAAATGGAGGATCCCGCTAAGCCTTTACGACAGCTCGCACGCGAGCCATGATACTCTTCGCGGTTTTGGTCCTAATACCGTATCTCTGCTCGATTTCCCTGGTGACCGGTGTTGAAACAACGTCGTGGGAGTCTACGGTTAATGAGCCAGCGGTGCGCATCGTCGGCGGGGAGATCACCAGCATCAAGAATTATCCATTTAGCGTATGCGTGCGACGCGCCCATTTCTCTCACGCACACAAGCCCCTTAACCTTTCACCTTTGCGAAGAACATCGGTACCGTCACCCACACTTCCGCGGATGCGTAATATGACGACTCTGACGTCAATGACGTGGAAGTAACGCGAAGTGTACTCTGCGAGGTCGGGGATGGTTTTATCAACACTGAAAGTTGACAGAGCGAAATGTTTAGCGATTCAACGCGAACAGAGAGAACGACCTATAAAGTCTTTTAACACTCTTTCGTGAAATTAAACTGTTTCAATTTCTAACCGGTGGTACAGAGTAAAATCGTTTGACGATGATGTGATGAAATGAAGTTTTAACTGACGTATCTTGCAGTTTACGCTTTGAGTGTATTCACGTGTAGGACCAAATTGAATCAGAGATATCGGTTTTATTAATGAAACACACAAGCTCTAGATTACATCATGCAATTTCGGCACTTCTAATTTCTCGTTTGTGTGATCTGTACTGACGGTATACTGATGCACTTTAACTGCTCGTGTCAATCTAACCACAGTACATATATACTGTGATCTAACTTTGAATGCTTTCGAGACAGTCAGAAATCTCAATTTCCAAAATCCAAATAGTTAAGCGTTGTCTTAGTTGACGTTGCATAGAAAGTTGTATGTTATTCTATTCAAAGTTTTAATAGAACAGATATAATTTGAAACATATCTTTGAATGAAATTTTACGAAATGTCTTTCTTAGATTTTCTTAGATTTAACAAATTGAAAGTAAACATATATAAAAAAGATGTTAAACCCCTAATGAAAATCTCATATTTCATTTCATATTTTCATAATATTTTCAAGAATTTTAAATTTATGAAAATTTCTGAAAAATACTTTAAACTTCATATTTTACATATTTTCTTTGAACATAGAAAGAAAAATCTTAGATTATTTTAGAATTCACAAATAATATAAAAAATAATATAAAATTCACAAATGATATAAAAAATTCTAGAAAAGTTGTAGGCTTTTTTTAATATTTTTGAAAGTATTTTAATTCGTAAAAAAAAAATATTTGAAACATTTTCTGTAAAGTTATAAAATAATGTAATAATGTAGAAATTCTGCAAAATTATATGTGAAGGATTCTGAGAACAAAGTTTGTTGGCATGCTCCAACATTGTAATATATTCCTACCATAGCTCTTGCTCATTCCAACGCGCTTGATAGAGTAGGAGCTGTGATAGGAGCATGTTGGAGCATGTTGGAGCTTGCGAACAAACTCAATTTTCATCAGGGAAGCAAGAGAAAATTACTCGTGAAATTGAGATTCAGACGGTCTCGAATATGCTTGGCATTCGTCCGAGCTAGGCGCAAGGGTTAAGGTGGCAACCGACTCGACTCGGACTCGACGAATCCGAATTTTTCAAAGTCAATTCCTCTTAGGTCTCGGTGCAGCGCCGACCCTTTAGCCACTCGTGCGGAGGCACTTACGTCGCCTGTAGGTTCGTTCTGTCGGCCGCCCATTGCATGATCAGGTGCGTGTCACAAGACTGCGTTTCGCATTTTGCGCTATGTCTGTCGCGGAGGGTGGTGTAGTCTCTCTCTCTCTCTAGCCGGGGCTTTAACACTTTATTCGCCCTACGTTTTTGTTGCCCCATTTCCCTAACATGCAATCTTCATTTCTGGGATGTTTGAACAAAGATGGGATCCCCCGAATTTACATCCCGGAATTAAGATAGCTTTCTAAGATGGAAGGGAAGGGGAGTGGGGAGGGGGGGGTGAAAAATGAACGAGAATATTTCACGTGACATTTTCTGAATAGAACACGTGGACTCTCCGAAGATGTTAGCAACGCACGACACTTTTTAAGCTTGATTCTGTATTAATGTTAACTGTGATCTTTTTCATTTAGTGCTATTAAGATGTTGATCTCTTGCTTACTTGCTGATATGTGTAAGAGTTGATGTGTATATAAAAGTTATTCGTTCTAAAGGGCTTTGCGGCCAATTATGATTAGGAAACACTGCCACATCGTACAGCGAATTTATCTTTTCATGCTTTGATACATTTATCACACGAATTGGAATAAATTTATGTATATTTGCGTTGTTGTAATAATATTAATTTTGATAACGTCGCTTTCTTTCACGCAAAAATGCCTTATATCAAAATTTCTAAATCTAGATAAAGTACGTTTTGTAATATATAATATACACTGGAATTTTTATATTTAAATTGCTATTTTGTTTTATTTTTTAATTCTTATGGATCACTTTATAATTGCAATTTGGAGAAAATTTTGAAAGAAGTGAACATACAAAGCATTTATTCCTTTTAAGCTGTACAAAATGACTTAAGCTTCAGATAAAGTTTAAGCTCCCTGAAAACGCGAAAAAATTTAAATGATTTTTCTTAGATACTCTTCTTAAATTACTTTTCCTTAAAGATTTAAATTGATTTTTTTTGTTAAAAAAAATATTAAATGGACTTAATTTTTTTTTAATGTCTTTTTTTATCGTCACACATTTTTGTCGTTTGCTTTTAGAATATATAAGATATTTTCATATTGTTAAATTTTCTTTAGATAGATTAAACGATTTTTCGCTTTCACTTATAACTTTTCAAGAAGCAGAGAGAATTAATCTTCTCATTTTTTGATATAATTAATCCTTAAACACGGAGCTGTCTATGTGATCTAAATTTCTTTAGATTTAAAGTTTCGAAGTAAAAAAGAATACGGAGGGAGAAAATCCTTTGTCGGGTAAAATATAAATTACATCTCGGTATTATCTCGGGAATATAATTATATCTATTTGTAAACCAAACCAAATGCCCTGGTAAGACATTTTAGGATTACACCACATTACATGAGGTATTAGTGGCCGTGTTTAACCTCCTTGCTACTGCAGAGATGTATGTAACGTGTTCACACGAGAAAAAGCATAAGGCTTGTGTTTGATGTAATGACGTGTCTTGTAAGATGTAAATCGCTTCCATTTGTGAGAAATTAACCGAACAGGTCGGCAGATTTAAATTTCCAGTAATCTAGTTTGAAGATATGTAATATATTTCGAGAGAGTCTCTCTGTAAGAGATATTTATATCTACACATTCTCTATGAAATATTCATTAATTATAAACATTACAGAGAGATGTATTCTGAACAGCAGTTCTGTAATGCATAAGTCCTAAATGTATTTGGTAGGTAATTTATATCGCGTATGTGAAATATACGCGGAACATTCGGACTTATATTTTCGCTACTGAATGCAATCCTTCTTTCAACTATACAGCAACAACTGGGTGAACAGGATTGGAAGGTGAATCAAACGGTATCAGCGATTAGATATAAGAATAACTGCCTGTTGACAAACTGGCGTATCAATTATAAAGCGAATTTTGTCTCTCGTCCCTTCCGTCCCGTTCATTCCCTCTAATTGTATGTATATCTTATTTGTTTTTGAGTAGTGATGTGCTGTCTAGCGTATATATTTCACGAGTAACGAGAAGGTTAGCGGCGCTAGATCCTAAGGCAATGATATCTGTCGCGGTATCTATCTATGTTATTGATTAGCTGTGTACTAGCGATGAGATGTACTACTACTCGCGTGAACGTAGTTTCTGTTTTACGTGTCAGCTCGGCCGCTCGTGATTGTACGTAGAGGAAATTGGGGCGCAATCAGTACGTTCGTTTAAACGACAGCTACATAAAATATTAAAAGAACGAGTGATTTAAAAGGAACGAGATAAATTAGAAGAGAGTTAATAATTACATTGAAACATGACTTTAATAAATATATTTCCGATATCATTTCTTTTTCGTAATTAAACATCAATTTTATGCAATAAATTTTAATTACATTCTATCTTTCTTTAGTTGATACCAGAATAGATTCATAAAAAATAATTTAACACTTAATTGTTATTCATTTGTCTTTAATTTTATCAAAAATTTAATTTTCTAATTTATTTGTTATACAAAATTAATGCAGATTTTGTTTCTTCACTTACAAAAAAAGAAAAATTATGTTTATTATATTGTCTTAGAAGACAGTATTAACCTTCCTTAAAAAAGAAATACTCTTTTAAAAAAATTTCATAATTTTGTGAATATTATACATATCCCAAAATTCTTAGTATTTTTTCTCTATAAGTTATATATTCAACACATACAAAGTAAAATTATTGAACCTAACAATATTGTTTAATAAGAAAAGTGTTCTGTCGTTACGTTTCTGATCGCGTTTCACTTTTCCTCACATCCGTTGTTTAGGTGAAAAAAAAAACCAAGGTATATAATTAATTCATCGTTGTTTAAAGAGGGTTTCTCGACGGCACGTGGATAGCGGAGAATCCACGCTATTTCTATGTGATAGCCGGCGCGACCTACGTGTATTTACCAAGTTGGGGTTCCACGCAGGTGGAATTGGTAGACAAGACATTGCCGCACGCAGAGTTTCGATTCTCGGACATGCGAAATGATATTGGATTGTTCAGGGTGACTGTTTATGCCGTGTATATAATTTTGTGTCGATAATAAAGAGAGTAAACCTTGTAATCACTGAGTGGTCTTACACTGTCATACATGCCCCGCTTTTACAGCTGAAGAGACCTCTTTATAGAAACGAGTATGTCCAATACGTTACGCTTCCGCCGATGTACCTCACGGATATATTCCAGAAATACACGGAAGATTGTGTCGCGATTGGATGGGGTCGACACATACCCTATTCAAAAGTAAGCAAGTTTACAAAGTGTTTTATTTAAATATAGCACATAAATGAGGATAATATATTCCGATGGAAGAAACATTTTGCATTTTTTTCTTTTTTTTTTGTGAATGAAAACCAATAAAAAATGGATATACAAACTCTTTTTTCCAGCATTATAAAGAGTAGCTTTTTTTCCAGCATTATTTAATCCATTATGAAATAATGATAGAACAATTTTAAATTCCGTTTAAAGCAAACTTTTTCCGATATATCTAATCTTCATCAGTTATTCTTTAATATCTATTCTTTATTAGTTTATTTTAGAATCTCTTATCGCATTTTTCTTTAAAAAAGAAATTTATTTAAATTAATAATTTACTTTGAAAACATGGCACAATTTAATAAAATTCAAGAAGAAATACAAGAAGTTGTAGTTGACCAATGAATAATATATTTTTTTAATTTTCTCGTGGCTCATTATTAGAAAGGAAGCGGTACGTATTTGCGACACGTTCGAATTCCATTAGTCCCGCCTGACAAATGTCCTATGCCGAATGTGCACAAAGAAAAGCAATTATGCGCGGGTGTATTGGAAGGTGGTCGCGACGCCTGTCAGGTTTGCATTAAATTTTGTATATCTATATCTGTATATATATATATATGTATATATATATATATAAAATATACGTACATATAGATAGGTGTTTCACCTAACTCGATCTGAAATAACTCGCTTATTTTTGATGATATGAAAAAATGTTTCAGATGAAAGTGGAATGGTTTCAAGAAGGAACGTATTCAAGTTGTTTTTTTTCTAAGTGGAAGCGTCAAAAAGTTTGTCAGATATTTTATATTTTATTCTGTTACATGTTAGCATAAAATATTAAATATCTCGTAAACTGTTTATTTTTTTATAATTATATCTTGATACTTTTATGAACAAAATAATGAGATGAATCAATTGGTGGAATGGAAACAAATTGCTTTAAAAAAATTTGTATGCAAAATGGATAATTTTTTAAGTAAGCAAATATGTGTTTTCATTTCACCACAATTGATTCATTATTCTATTCATGAAAGTAATAAGATTACGATTATCAAAAATTAATAATTTACGAGATATTTAATATTTTATGTCAACATGTGACAGAATAAAGTATAAAATATCTCTCGTAAACTATTGGCTTTTTGATATTATCTTAATATATTTATGTGCAGAATAATTAAAGAAACTTTATTGTGTAAAAAAATCATACAATTCCGCTTAAAAAAGGAGGTAACCTTTATACCTTTTTGACGCCTCCACCTAGAAGAAAGACAACATTATCAAAATACGTCCTTCTTGAAATCATTCTACTTTCATCTGAAATATTTTTTCGTATCATCAAAAATAAACGAGATATTTTAAATACTCGAATTATAATAGGTGAGACATCCTTCCTTGGAAATGATTAAACAACTTGGCCTTATCTCTTTGGAAAAAAATAATAAATAAATAAATAACTAGAAAAAAGAAGTAATATGAGTCTCCATTTTATTTTTTGTTTTTATTCAAGTCTAATGTGTAACTATTTAAATATGATAGCAAAGTGGTTTCCTTTCCTTATTTTTACAAAATCTAATTTCTTCAGGTCTATTTGCGCTTCTTATGAAGTTTAAATAGTTTGAATTTATAGAAAATTTTAAATATTTTGAGATATTATCAGATTAATTCTGAAATTTTTTTCATGAATATGTTCTTCTAACAATACAATCTCTTGTATTGATTCTGTCCTCGTGAATATTTAATGAACATTTTTTTCTCCATTTCATAAGTATTTTTAAGGACTTCTTAAAATTATTTTAAAATGATAATTACAAAGATTTTTATTGAAAAATAACGCTCTGTAATGTTTTTCATTAAAAATTCTTAGACTTACTTCCTTATTAGACAGACCAATATAGAATATTGATAAAATTTATATTTAATCATGTCCCAAGGAAATTACAGCTATTCAAGCTTTCTTATTTAAAATAAATGAATAACATCTTAGGAATTAATTTAAGATATAAATTCATTACTTATGAATTTTTAATCATGCTAAGCTCGACAATGAAAATCAAAACTTTGATATTGAAAATCATATGAAAAAACTTTGCTGTACCTTGTAATAGATAAATGTCAATTATAAAAACGTCGGACCAATTAAAAAAATCATGATGGCAATTGTTTTTTTTCATAATTTTGATACTTATTAAAGAATAAGTTAAAAACTTTTTGCAAAAAATTATATTAATTATAACAGAATTTTATTCTAATTTAATTGAGACTTATATTAACATCCCACATTTCTTTTAATAAATCATTTTTACACTAAACGGAAATTTTACTTTTTGCATACAGATTCTACTGCAATATTTTGAATTTTCAGGGTGACAGCGGTGGACCATTGTTATGCAATGGAACGCAAGTCGGTATTGTCTCTTGGGGCGAAGGATGTGCTCGTCCGAATAAAACGGGTGTTTATTCTCGTGTGGATTTTTATTTACAATGGTTAAATGAAACTATTACTCAAAATGGAGCCGCGAAATATTCTTTCCAAAATATTATAATTGTTTTTGCAGCTTACTGCCTATATACTTTATCGATATAATATATTGATTATCGTATATGTATAAAACAAACAAGCAATAGCAACAATTTTATATTTAGCTGCAACGTGTTATTATTATTATTATTATTATTATTATTATTATTATTATTATTATTATTATTATATGTTCACCAAGATCCTACTCTAATTAAAAAGTTTTTTATTTTTCTTATATATAAATTAAAAATGTTATTAGTTTGTGTACAAAGAGTGGTTAATTAATTTTTAGTTGCAGATTTTAGAAAATTATTCCTCTTGTCATCTTAAAAAAATATCTTTTCAAAATGTATTGTTTAATTAAAAAAAGAAGAATTTTGTTCATATTATTAAGATCAGTTTAAGATTCCTATCATTAATAAAAGGAGTTACTTTAAAAAAACTATTTCTTGCTGTTCACTGCTCTTGCTGTTCAAAAATTCACTTTATCAAAAAAAAAAATTTTTTTTTCAGATTTTTATTATTTCGCAAAGAAAGATTTCGTTTACATTATTAAGATCAATTAAAAATTTCTGCTATATATCAAAAAGAAAATTTGGAAAATTATTTCTTGCTGTCTTAAAAGCAAAATATTTTTTAAGAATCTGTGATTAATAAAAAAAGAAAAATTTTATTGATATTATTAATAACAATTTAAGATTTCTTATTAATAAGAAGAATCATTTTCAAAAATTATTTCTTGCCATCTTACAAAATTTTTTTAGAATCTATTATTTTAAAATTTCTATTATTTAAAATCTCTATTATTTATTATTATTTAATAAAAAGAGGGTTTTCATGTTATTAATATCAGTTTAATATCCTGCTATTAATAAAAGAAAACATTCTATTTCCATTTCCTATATTCCTTTTGATATATTATCTTAATGCAATGGAAGGATATACGTATCTCACTATACAGCAATGAGCGCCATCGTTCTACATTTTCAAATTTACTCTTTTTCTATATTCCCGTCGACCCTCCTTTTTCTGATCCTTCTTCTGATTTTTCAATTTCCCTTTTCTTTCTCCTATTTCCTTCTGCTTGATTTCTTGCATTCCCATTTCCTTTTTATTTAAATCTTGTGATTTTTTATTTTTTTTTTCTTCACTTCATCCTTCTCTCCTTCCTTCTCCTTCTCCTTCTTCTGCTTTTTCTCCGCCTTCCTCTTTTTCCTTTTTTAGGCAATGTACTAACTGTACGTTGTTCTATTTATAAAGCACATGCATGGCTCACGCATAAAGTAATGCGCAGATAATATTATGTTATTTATATCAAAAAATCGAATGAGAATCCGCACGAAGGACAAAGCAAATTTCCGGCAATAATACAACAGGTTCTAAGTGTATCCTTTTCGCGGTCGTTCTCCTCGTCTCTCGAGAAGAAACAGTTACGTGAGTGAAAGTGATCTGAGCCTGGTTGACGCACGCATATCTGGGGCCCAACAGTCTACAGACTGCAGTCAAACGAATCGGTATATTGTATTAACTGTGCGTAATCATCGATATCGATCGATGATTAATAAACATCATTTGTTATAAAACAATTAACGCCATTTAGTCTATCTACAATAAATACAAAAAGAATATAAAACTTTCGCTATCACTGTTATCGCGAGTGAATAAAAAACAGATCTGATTATCGCTTATTCCTTGTATAACTTCTCATATCAATTATCATGTACCTATATACTTATCAAGTAACGCAGTAAATTAAAGTCATGATATAAGAAGACACTAAATTTGAAATAAAAATCAGTGATACGCAGTTTAACATCAAACATAAGATTCGACGTTTACTTGAAGTAGATGATATTGTAAATGGTTTTTTAATTCGAGATACATTCCAGATTATTATCCGACGCATTAAATATAACGCATCGAAGAAATTTAGCGCGCTACAATGTCTTTCAGTGACGTGGCACTTCTACTTATTTTATTTTTTGGGACGTACGTTCACGGTGAGTTTGCCTCTTACTAAATCTATCTACTTATGATTAATATGTGTATTGTACTTGTGCAATAACAATGTCATATAATATTATATTCGATTAGCGTGTATGAATAATACCAGCGTTTACATATTAACAAGCGAAAGTAAAAGCCGGCACGCCGCACAATGAGGACGCGACATTTTCGCTCACGAATGTATATACAGAGTGTCGCGAAAATAGATTCCATTATTGCTTTATCTACAAATTTTTTGATTAATTAGTATCGATTTAGTATCAATTTTTCTTTATTAAGAATTTATTTAGTTTCTTGAATGTGCGCTCCAATATATTTTCGCGATTTACTGGCAATCGATTTAAATTTATTTTGAATAAAACTCTAAAAGACAAAGTAATTGTAATTATTTTCATAAGTAATTTTTAAATTTGTGTAGTATATAAATTAATACCTACGATTAAAAGATTTTTTAATCGTAAAACTAAAATAATCGTTTTAACACACATTAACGATTTTATTATACTTATTAATATGTAATTGAATGTCGTATAAAAGGCAATCTTACAAAAGTTGTAATTTTGTGTTTAGCTACAACAATAATAATTACATTCATTGAAGATTAATTCTGTCCTAAATGAATATACTCATGCCTTAAAATAATTATATTAATAATTATATTAATAATCGTATTAATAAATTAAATTATTTTAATTTTTTCGAAAAATAAGGATCTCAAAGTAATGTCGTTTATAAAACTGATCTGTTGAATTTAATTATAATAATGTCAATATATTATATTATACTAATATCAATATTATATACAGGACTCATAAGACCGAAACATGATAAGATCATCGTTTGCTATGTCGCATCTTGGGCTGCTTATAGGCAAGGAAATGGAGCATTCTCCTTAGAAAATCTCCGTTCGGAACACTGTACCCACTTAATTTATGCATTTGCTGGTTTAAATGCTTCGGACTGGACGATAAGAAGTCTCGATCCTTGGGCAGATATGGAAAAAGATGGTAATAACAATCTTAATATGATATCAAATTTTATATCAAATTTTACAATAATTATGAATTATCGTAGAAAGTTAACTAATTAAGAACTAAACTTTTAAAAATAATTAAAGAAACTAAGCGAGTTGTAATAAAGATTGAATGTTAGTCCAAAGAAATGGAGTGGTAAAGAAACAATTATATAATAATACATAATTCATTAAATTGTTCATAAAAGTTGTTAATGAATTCTTTGAAGACAGAAGCTTTCTAACAAAGAAACTTAAAGGAAATCTTGTTTTTTTAAGAATTTGCGGAGTTGCTGAATTTGATTTTGTGAATTCTCAGAATTCTAAAATTTAAATTTCAAAAAAATCTGAGTATCGTGAAATTCAATTTTAGAAGATTCTTGATATCATTTAATTATAGCCTAAAGCTGTCGAATTTTAAACAAAAAATAATTCATTAAAGAGGATCTAATGTTATAAAGTTTATAATCAGAGTTTAGAAGTCATTTTAGAAATTAGTAAAGTAAATGTACAGTTAGTATAAACATAAACCAATGTTGGACAAAGTTGTTGATAAAATATTTCAGTTGATCAAATATTAAACTTTTAATAATATGTATGATTTTAAATAAATTCATTATTAAATTTTTATAAACAAATTCATTTAGAAGCATACATATTAAAAGTTTAATATTTAAAATTTTGTCCAACGAATTGAATTATGTCTATTAATTATTCATTAATATATAGTACATTTATTTACCTTATTAATTGTTTGCATATAGTATAGATAAACTTCAAATTAAGCGAAACTGAAAATTTTATTATTAGTTTACAATTAAAAACTCCCTAAAATCGTATTTTATATAATAATCAAATTATTATTTTAAATTCTCTCTTTAATGGATCCATCATTTAGAATTTTTTATTTTTGACCTCATTCAAATAAAACGTAATTAAATTATCTTACAAGTAATTACCCTCTAGTGAGTGCATAGGTCAGTTTCATAAAAATTGAACCAAGCATAATGTAAAATAAAAAAAAGTGATTTCAAATAGGATCGCCCATCCATAAAAAATTATTAATAATTGATTTAATATATTCGATAATTCAAGTTATATTAAGCTGAAATTAAAGTTTTATAAACATAATTTGGAAATATCTTGATGAATATAGGAATAGGCAACTACAGAAAAATGACAACGCTTCGTAATCAAGGTTTAAAAGTATCGCTCGGTATTGGCGGATGGAACGAAGGCAGCACAAATTATTCACTAATGGCTTCTTCATCGGAACGTAGAAGGATTTTCATCGCTAGTACTGTTGAGTTTCTCAAGTGTGTTTGCTGTAATATATTTATCTTAATCCTTCTTCTATGTTATTTTTTCATTATAGAAAGTCAATTCTTTAAGTAGTACCTTTTTTACTGATCAGAAAGAAGTTTATTATATGCGACGGTTACAATCTATGATTTAGTTAAACATTACAATACCGATAATTAAAATTGAATTTTGATCTACATTGATTGATTTTATCTGTATTGTGTTGTTAGATTTTATGATTTTTTTTAAATTAAATTTTTGCAACAGAATGTATGGATTTGACGGACTGGATCTTGATTGGGAATTTCCTGGAAGTCGAGGAGGTGCTCCGTATGATAAACAGAATTTTGTTAGCCTCGTGCAGGTAGAAACATTATATTTTATTATTTTTATGTTAACATAAAAAATAAATCCATTATTTATCTTGCGATAGGAATTGAAGAATGCCTTTAGAGAACATCGCTTTTTGTTAACCGCAGCCATAAGTGCCATCAGTTCTACTATCGATATGGCATATGATATTCCCAAAATTTCTAAATATCTTGATTACATTCATGTGATGGCCTATGATTATCACGGAGCATGGAACAAACAGGTTCTTCCAAATTCACCACTGCGAAGCAAAGATCGATTAGATGTGGTAAGAAATATGATATTCATAGAAATATTAATGTACATATATGCACAGACATATTGTAATAAAAAATCAATAGTAAGATCTAGTTACCTTATATTATAAAAGTAAATTAA